GTCGCCTCGAGGAAATACAGCTCACCTAGTCTCTGGGTCGCCCGTGCTGCTACGCCCAATGGGCCAATAGAAATACCTGTACCTGTGCAACAAAATGCACAGCAAGTGTAGCATGAGTACGAAAACAATGTGTACTCAGTAAGTATCCCGCCTAATCTCGAAGAACTAGAGACGAGATGGCAACTTCGACACTTACTAATGGTCAAATAATAATATTATTAAAGCGATGACTCACGAATTTATTAAGGACAATAGTAGATTCAAACGAATTACGAAACAGATAAAAGTTCCTTTTTTTATTAAAAGTCTCCGATTTCATAATCCATTAATTAACAATTATCTCAAGTCGGGGAGAGCAGATGGCAATATCAATAAATCTCAAGACAAACAATTCAAACATGCGCAACTCATGCCGAGGTCGTACGACCCGATCCAACATAAATGTAAAATGTGCATTGTCGAGGGTCGAGCGGCCCGAACCATAGATGCATCTATTACCCCGCTCATGAATCATACATGCGACGTGGTCAAATTTAAATATACAATTACCCTGCTCGCGTACCATACATGCGACGCAAGTGAACATAGAAATACATGCTCAAACAACAAATTAAAAATTTTACGGGGAACATTTATCCCATCAAAAGCCAATTCTCTTTTAATGATTCAAGGAATAAAATTTAATCCTCTTAGAAATTCATTTACCAATTCGATGGATTTAAGAAATTCAAGTGTCAATAAGATTGCAATTATCCAAGTATAGCATGCTTTTGGGTCTAAGACTACCCGGACTTACACGTACTAGCAGCTACGCACGAACTCTTGTCACCTCGTGTGTACGTAGCCCCCACAAATAGGAGCACATAACCAATTATTTTACCTATGGGGACAATTCCCTCTTACAAGGTTAGAAAGGAGACTCACCTCGCTCCGAGATCCATAACCGGCATTCCATGCCCTTCCGAAGTCTCGAATCGATGCTAAACGCTCCAAAGCTAGCCAATAATTATGCAAATCCATTAATATAGGTTCAATTACTCATTACAATCCAATTCACAACAATTCCTAAACCCGATCGAAAAGTCGATAAAAATCACCCTCGGGCCCACGTGCCCGGATTCCGAAAATTATTAAAAATAAATATTGCCCATAACTCATTTGGTCTATATCCAGAAATTCATCCAATTTCTTCCATGAATCGACCCTCAAATCAAGGATTTATCATTTTTCAACTTTGGGGCTCAAAATCCCAATTTCTACAATCCAAATACGGATAAAAGTAGAAACAAACAGAAATAATCATGGAGAAACATCAAAATAAAGGTCAGATATTTACCCCTTTGTTGAGACGAGAACAACGCCACAAAAATCACCTCAAACGGAGCTCTAGAACTCAAGATATGCCCAAAATACTAAAATTCTCGATTTAAAACACTGTCCAGGCGATATTTCTTCATCGCGTTCGCGGGATGCCATCGCGTTCGCGAAGGGCATTTTTTCGCATTGACCGGTCAACCCATAAATCCTTCTACACGTTCGCGGAACCACTCCCGAGTTCGCGAAGAACAAATCTTCACACGAGAAACCAGCAATATTTTCGAAACGGAAATGAGCATAACTCCCTCATACGATGTCCAAATTCGACGATTCTTTTTGATATGGCTCCGTAATTAAGATACGGATCTAATGATAGAATAAAAACTTAATTTGGAGCTTATTTGCTTAATATGGTACCCTTTATGTCCAAAAAAACAATGTTGAAACATCAAATAAGAGTGTGATACAACCCGAAACACACCCGAGGCCCCCGGGACCCGAACCAATCATACCAACCAGTCCCAAAACACATTACGGACTTGCTCGAGGCCTCAAATCATATCAAACAATGCTTAAACCACGAATCGACCTCCAATCCAAACTTTATGAACTTTAGAATTTCAAACGTCTACTTTCGATGTTTAAACCTATCAAATCACGTCCGATTGACTTCAAATTTTGCGCACAAGTCACATTCGACGTTACGGACCTACTCCAACTTTCGGAATCCGATTCCGACCCCGATATCAAAAAGTCCACCTCCGGTCAAACCTCTCAAAAACCTTCAAATTTCTCTCCTTAGCCAAATGGCTCCAAAATGCTCCACGGACATCCGAATTCACTTCCGAACGCGCTCCCAACTCCAGAATCACCATACGGAGCTACTCCCAGACTCGGAATCCCAAACGGATATCGATAACAGAAATGCACTTCAACCCAAACTTATGAAATTTCTTCCAAAATGCTAACTTCCACAATAGGCGCCAAAACGCTCCCGGGTCATCCCAAAACCGATCCGGGCATACGCCCAAGTCCGAAATCATTATACGAACCTGCTGGAACCTTCAGATCCCGATTCCGAGGTCGTTTACTCTGAAATCCAATCCTAGTCAATTCTCTCAACTTAAAGCTTCCGAAATGAGAATTTCCTCTCCAAGTCAACTCCGAACTTCCCGAAATTTAATTCCGACCACGCGTACAAGTCATAATGACTGAATTGAAGTTGCTCATGGCCTCGAGTTGCTGAACGGCGCGCTAGGGCTCAAAACGACCGATCGGGTCGTTATATACAAGTAGTATCATATAATGATCTTTTCGTTTCCCAAAATTTGGTTAGTGCAAATTTATTTGAAAATAGAAAGAAAAGGCATTTTTTAAGAACGGTGGCTAACTTTTAAATACAGGCGAAAAAGGTGGTTATACCATGTGAAAAATCCGGGAAAGGCCGAACACCTAAGTGGCTAAAAGCCTAAAAGCATCTCCTAACGGCCCATGCACTAACTGTGCTCTTACATATATAGCACGGTAGAAATGGCATGGGGTAGCCACTATTTAAAGTGGTATTTACTTTTTATCCACCATTTTTAATGCTGAGCAAAACTAGCCACTAGTCTATTAAAATTAATATGAAAGACAAAGTTACCCTTTTCATTCTCTCTCCCGCTGTCTCTGCCACACACACCCTACCAAAAATCTGGCTACTTGTAGGAGATCATAGACATAAAACACAGTCAAGGGATGAAGAAAAGAAGCAAAGAGAATTACGTGATAACCAGGATGAGGAAAACTTCAGGCAAATTGAATCCCAGTCCTCTGAATTACCAACGCGTTGACCCAAAGGCTTAGCTAATAATCTTAGAGGAAGCAAACAGATGAAGCAGATATCACCAAATATAACGAAAAGAAAAGATAATCAAATGCAATTTGTACTTTTACCCACATCATCAACCTCTGATTCAACTACTAAGCATATAAACCAAAAAAATGTAGTCTTGAAGTCCTAAAGTTAAGTTCAATAGTTAAGGACACAAGTTCAAAAGTTAAGCACAGGTAGTCATTAACTTAGAGTTACAAGTTCTAAAGTTAAGGACAGGCAATCCTTAACTTATAGTTACAAGTTCAAAAGTTAAGGACAGGCAGTCCTTAACTTACAGTTACACGTTCAAAAGTTAAGGACAGTACGTCTTAAACTTTGATTTCCAAGTTCAAAAGTTAAGGACAGGCAGTCCTTAACTTACAGTTACACATTCAAAAGTTAAGGACTTATAGTCCTTAACTTTGACTTACAAGTTCAAAAGTTAAGGACAGACAGTCCTTAACTTCCAGTTGCACGTTCAAAAGTTAAGGACAAGCAGTGCTTAACTTACAGTTACAAGTTCAAAAGTTAAGGACAATAGGTCCTTAACTTTGACTTACAAGTTCAAATGTTAAGGACGCTTGGTCTTGAAGTTTGAGTTCCAAGTTCAAAACTTAAGGACATGTAACCTTGAAGTCCTGAACTTAGAGTTCCAAGTTCAAAAGTTAAGGACATGTAGTCCTGAAGTCCTGAACTTAGAGTTTCAAGTTCAAAAGTTAAGGACATGTAGTCCTGAAGTTAAGGACATGGGCAGAAGGGTATTTTTGTCCGAGCAGTTAAAGTTTATTAAACCAGTGGCTAAAGACTAAAGACATTTAAAACGCTGGCTTTAAAATAAAGACATAAGCTGTTAGTGGCTATCTGTGCACATCGCCCTATAGCACGGGCTAGCCAGTTTGCGGACTGGTCATTCAAAAATAGCCACCGTTTGTAAAGTCATTAAAAAATAGCCACTATTTTGCTGCAACACGGAAAGTTCCAGCATACTATACTGGAGATCGGTGCACCTGTGTATGAACTTCCAGTATATTATGCTGGAACTCCAACACGCGGAAAGTTACAGTATAATATACTGGAGATTAGAGCACCGGTGCTCCAATCTCCAGTATATTATGTTGGACCGGTGTATTATACTGGAACTCCAATATAATATACTGGAGTTTCAGTATACTTATGCTGGAACTCCAGTATAATATACCGGAGTATTTTTCCGGATTTTCAACAGTGCTTTCGTCCAGATTTATTTTTGCATGAAAAATGGCTAAATTTCAATTACTTTTGAAACTGTGGCTATTTTTGAATAACCACTTGTAAATTTGGTTATTTTTGAATTTCTCTCCTCTTACATCTTTGTCATGTTTTAATTTAAAAAATTATAGAAGTATAACACTTTTTGGAATAGTCTTTAATTTTTTACCCTCACTTTCTTATGGGCAGAACCCTAAGGTAAAAAAATAAAAGTGTTGGCAATAGGACAAGCCAGGGCAACACTTATTATATTTGAAGTTCTATCCATGGGGCAAGCTACAAAAATTTAAGATCATTCACTTTGAAGGCTATTTATGTACTTCACCAAAAAAGTTGTTTTTGGTAATAGTAATAATAATAATAATAATAATAATAATAATAATAATAATGAAAGACAAAAGGAATCTAGATTGCGTATGCAATTAGTTTGCAAGTAAAAAAGAGTTAATCCTCCCACCTCTAGCATTGAGGTCGGATCAACAACAATAACAAGTCAGAAGTAATATTAATAAGTGGAATTTGGGAAGATAGTGTGTACGGAGATCTTACTCTTATTATAAAAAGGTAGAAAAACTGTTACTGATAGAGAAAAAATAGCAACAAATATTATTACGCCAAAATAGAAAGTCATTCAGCTGACTTTATTATTAGCATTACAAATTTAAAGTATGAAAGACGAGGAAACAAGAAAAACAGGAATCAAACAAAAGAAAGAAGAAAGGAAATAAAACATGGGAATCACATAACAAGAGATGCACTATACATCTACGTTGCATGTACCCAGAAAACATATACAACAAATCCAGCAATCTGCTTTACATTCACTATTGTATTTACAGTCTCTCGCACATGTTAAAATATCATTGCGTTGTGGTAGTAATCTCCTCTCCAGTCTCGACAGATCTTGACTATCATCTCGTGCAGCCATCACTTGCATTTTTGAGAACCAAGGCGTATTGACTGAAATATATTTCACCATCAAAATTATCTAATTAAAAGTATGTAGTAGAATATTACGTGAATGATAAATACATACATTCGAATAATATATATGTACACAATCATATGACAACATGCATATTAACAAGCAGAGGCGGATCCAGGATTTGAAGAGGATGTGTGCATTATTGTGAAAATGCGGATTTAGAATTTATATTTGATGAGTTTAACTTTTGTATCTACCGTATACCGACTACACTTTTGAAATTATAGGTTCAAAATTATATTCTTTTTAAAATTTTAGTGATTTTCATGTATATATCTGTACTCCGTGCCGAAAACAAGACCGTCTAGAGTGGGATTTGAACCACATATTTCACTCGTAAAGGTGCACCCAATGATTATTGCACCATATATAGGAGTCTTTGAACATGAGTTCACGCACATATAATTAAGTAATTTTCAAAAAAATAATAATATTATTATACATAATTTAAGGAGAGGAGTATGGGTTCACGTGAACCCATACCATAAGACTTAGATACCCACCTGTTAACAAGGCACAATAATATAAAAAATGCAATCTATAGATAAAGAGAGATTGATACTTACTGGTGGTTGCCACGAGAAGAATAGTAAACACGAAACCGAACTTAAGCAATGCCATATTAGGAATAACGATCTAGGTTATGTGAAAGTTTCTGTATATGAGCATGAGCATCTGACTGATTTTCAGAGGATAGATTTATAGACTTTCATGTAATGAGCTAGCTTTCGAGCATGTGCTATAGTAGTTTCGTTTAAACTTTTTATAATAATTTCTTAGCTTGTTCCTTAATTTATTCCACTTAATTGCCTCAATTAAAGAAGATAATGAGTTGACCTAATCGACAAATACATTGAGATTGAGGAAAGAATTAAACATTTTGGCTTGCTTTATTTACGTAATGCAATATTAATTACTCTATCTGTTCATTTTTACTTGTCCACTATTAACTTTGCACACCTCTTAAGAAATACTTCTCCGGTCCAAAATAAGTGATTTTTTAGCTGTTTTCACACAGATTAAGAAATTCTCCTTTTAACATTAATTAGCAATAAAATTGACCAAATTAACCTTACTATCTCTTCACATAAATACTCCTAAAACATACTCCAACACTATTTACTCCAAGGGCAATGTAGGAAAAAAAATAATAATACATTCTTGAAATCTGGAAAAATCACTTATTTTGGACTTCAAAAAAAAAGGCTAAAAAATCACTTATTTTGGACCGGAGGGAGTAATAAATAGAGTGCATAATTTACAATGATACCTATATTAATTGGTATATAGTCTTAATGAATTTGGAAAATGATTTAGAATGAGTAATTAATGCTAAGGGCAAAACAGGAAAAATGATTTATTTTTCTCTCGCAATGCGAAAGTGGACAAGTAAAACTGAAAATCTATTTTTAGAACAATGGACAAGTAAAAGTGAACGGAGGGAGTAATTAAACGCCCATTTCTCTCCATCACCTCCTAAAAAGTAAATGCATCAAATACTCCTGATTGTTTCAACTTATGTGGTACTTTTCTCTTTTTCAGAGTTAATTTGATTAATATTCGAAGCTAAATTGAAATAAATCAATTGAATATTAAAATATTTAAAGAATATACAAAAGTACTATAAATTGCAGTTATTATCATGTAATATGATGAAAAACCTATATCAAGATATTAATCAGAGTTTATTATTTACATAACTTGATTTCAAAAAGCAAAAAGTATCACGTAAATTGGGTAGAAGAAATCATTAGAATGATCCATAAGTAACGAAGAGTTGTATACGTTCTATATGTCTCAACTAAAAACAATTTCATGTGATCCATAAGATTTTGCAACTCGAGTATCGCTATGAAATTATGTTGTTGTTCCACATTAATTTATCTATACCTATATCATATTAAAAGTACGAACGTTTTTAGCGAAAGTTTTTCTCTTTAAAAATAAATTTGACATTAGATAAAATTATAATTTAAAATTACCTAAAATATAGCACTTGGAAATCTACAGAGATTTGATTATTAAATATTTTTTATTTTAGTTATGTACCTAAAATGTAGGACTTTGAGATCTTTTAAAATTACCTTAAATGAATCACTAAAAAGTCAATTATTTGGAACATTAGTATTATACGTTATTTTAAACTAGTTTCCATATAGCAATCAGCAAGTGACATCCAAAAGGTACTCCAGTTGTATTCGTGAGAATAACATAATTTTTAACAGCTATGAGTAATTTTTTCGAACAATAATTTTACTTACACTTAATATTTGCAACAAATTATATTAATTTATTATAATTATAAGTTTTCCATCTCAAGATACCAAAAAACTCTTAAATTGACCACATTTTTGTCCTCCGGGGTGCAAATCAATTGCAAGAGGAAGAGACGAAAATGTGAAGTAAATTATATAGAAATCAAACTCAGGTCTCATAATTATTTTTGGATTGCAAGATTTTTGAAGATTCTTAGATTGCTAATGTTAAAAATGTTACTAGCTATTGCCAACTAAGTGTTTTTTTAAAGAAAATGTTAATCAAGGACCCGTTGATTTGCAAGTCCTTTTTTCTCTCGGCGCACGTTTGGTGCCAACTAACCTGCGCCTCGCCATAAATGGGAGGAAGAGGACGACCTAGGAAGAACACTAGCAAAACACTAATGGTAGAAAGGAAATTAACTGATCTTAGCATAAGAGAGCAAGGAAAACAATCATCAAAAGCAAAAGAGAAAATGCATGAGGACGAAGAACTGGATCTGGAAAGTGATGATGAGCTAAATTGGCCAGATCTAAGCAACACAAGAACAAAATTGACAACGCCGGTGAAGCCAATCACTATTGCGACACCCGTGATGAGTGCTGGAGCTAAAGGAGCTGTCACGACCCGGATTTCCCACCCTCGGGAGTCGTGATGGTGCCTACTAATACGAGCTAGGCAAGCCAATTATTTGCTCAATTTACCTTTTTACCCATTTTACAATCATTAACAATTGCGAAGTAATAACATTTAACCAACGAAATTTAACATAAGCGGAAGAAAAAGCAATAAGCTATCAGAACATGAATCCAATACAACTGTTTGAATCTCGACTACCCAGAACTGGTGTCACAGTTTCACAGACGGTCTAAGAACACTACAATTAAAGGTCTGAAAGAAATAAATACAACACTGTCTCTGAAAATGCATGAAAGAAACAGGAATAGTAGATGGAAGGAGACGCCAAGGCCTACGGACGCCTGCAGGACTACCTCGGGTCGCCTGATGAACAAGAATCAGCAATCTCACTGCGGTCCGAAGTCTACAACACTGGGGTCTGCACAAAAGAGTGCAGAGTGTAGTATCAGCACAACCGACCCCATCTNCACCCACCGATGTAGACACATATACAGGAGCACCCAAGGAACCACTAGGCATGACCAGATGCGGCGCCAAAATAAATCGAAGCTTCTCTGCTACAACCCAGAACAGTACCTGCACCTCCACCTCTAATACCTCTACCTCCACCTCTAGCATCTCTACCTCCACCTCTAGCTAACTAAGCGGGTTGGATGAGTCCCTCAATGAACCTCCTCACTCTCTCTCTCTCAGTGGGAAGTATGATAAGAGCATAACGAGCCAAGTCGATGATTCTGATCTCGTATTGAGTAACAGTCATAGAACCCTGCTGGAGACTCTCGAACTGCCTCCGATAGGCCTCTCTCTGAGTGATGGGGAGAAACTCCTCCAGAAATAGCTGAGCAAATTGCTCCCAAGTCAAAGCTGGCGATCCGACTGGTTTAGCCAAACAGTAATCTCTCACCAAGTCTTGGCGGATCCGGACAAGCGAAAAGTAGCAAAATCGACCCCATTGGTCTCAACTATCCCCATGTTCCTGAGAACCTCGTGACAGCTGTCTAAAAAATCCTAGGGATCCTCAGAAGATGCACCGCTGAAAGTAGTAGTAAAGAGTTTGGTGAAACCTATCCAACCTCCACAAAGCCTCCGAAGATGTAGCTAATCTATCACCGGCCTGTGCTGCTGTTCGGCTAAAGAAGCGGTACGTAACCTCGCCATTCGCGAAAGGACAAGAGTAGGAGTTTCAATTTAGCACTGAGAGAACAAAATCGCACGACAGAAAAGAATAGATGTGAAGCCTTTTTCCTAACTCTGTAGCCCTCTGGGGGATAAATATAGACGTCTCTGTACTAATCCCTCAGACTCTACCAAGCTTGTCTGTGAACTGTGAGACCCATGTAACCTAGAGCTCTAATACCAACTTGTCACGACCCGGATTTCCCACCCTCGGGAGTCGTGATGGAGCCTACTAATACGAGCTAGGCAAGCCAATTATTTGCATAATTTACCTTTTTACCCATTTTATAATCATTAACAATTGCGAAGTAATAACATTGAACGGAAGAAAAAATAATAAACTATCAGAACATGAATCCAATACAACTGTTTGAATCTCGACTACCCAGAACTGGTGTCACAGTTTCACAGAAAATCTAAGAACACTACAATTAAAGGTCTGAAAGAAATAAATACAACACTGTCTCTGAAAATGCATGAAAGAAACAGGAATAGTAGATGGAAGGTGACGCCAAGGCCTACGGACGCCTGCAGGACTACCTCGGGTCGCCTGATGAACAAGAATCAGCAATCTCACTGCGGTCCGAAGTATACAACACTGGGGTCTACACAAAAGAGTGCAGAGTGTAGTATCAGCACAACCGATCCCATGTGCTGGTAAATGCCTAGCCTAACCTCGGCGAAGTACTGACGAGGCTAGGACCAGACTACCAAATAAACCTGTGCAGTTATATAATATATAGCGGAAAGTAAAGTAGAAATAAGCAAGTAAAGGTAGGAGGGGACAAACATGCTGCGGGGGTATACCAGTATTAACAGTAAATCCAGAGTAACAATCTAAGGGCAGCTTAGAATTCACAGCAAAACAAAAGAATCTAATATCCAAACTAAACACGCTTGTATCAATAATTGTTGCGGCGCGCAACCCGATCCCAATATATATAACAACACTGTTGCAGCGTGCAACCCGACCCATATAATATCGTTGCGGCGTGCAACCCGATCCACATATAATATTGTTGCAGCGTGAAACCCGATCCACATATAATATTGTTGCGGCGTGCAACCCGATCCACATATAATATTGTTGCGGCGTGCAACCCGATTCACATATAATATTGTTGCGGCGTGCAACCCGATCCACATATAATATTATTGCGGCGTGCAACCCGATCCACATATAATATTGTTGCGGCAAGCAACCCGATCCACATATAATATTCACAATCATAAAGAGAGTCCCGACAAGGGACCAATAAGGTCTACACTATCCTGGCAAGGGATTCGACAGCATAAGTAATTACGTCCCGGCGAGGGAGAAACAGCTATAACCAAACTTGTTACAATATCTATCTACCTCAGCTATAACCAAACATGTTCCAACATCTAACTACCTCAGCTATAAACAAACTTGTTCCAACATCTAACTACCTCAGCTATAACCACACTTGTTCCCCGAGAATAACCATAATCCTTACCCAACACAAAGAATCATCAACCTAAGCATCCATAATATCAATTAAGAACACAATGCAAGGGAACCACAACTCAACAATAGCCCGGCAAGGGGGCAACATAATAATCTCTCCTCTTTCTCACTTTTACTTCACAATTCACTTCACAACTCGAACCAATGCTCTAGAG